CGGTAGAAAATTGCACACAAGAGCAAGTACGTAGGATGAGGCTCGACTCCTCAAACACCTACATTTAAGCGAGATAATTTATCAATAATTTATCTCACTACTCAAATTTACCATAAAACCCATACTTAATAAAAATTAAGTCTTAAGGGTTTTAATCGGATTTTTCGTAAACTTGGAACTCTCTCATTTTTGCAAAATAGGACTCGGAAATTTATTTGGAGTCTCGGGACTTTAAAATAATTTTCTCAAATTTTTCTACTTTGAAAATAATTTTTTAAAATTGAAATCGGTGCGAAAAAGGGGCTTCCAGAACTCAAATGGGTCAAAAGGGCCGCACTTGGGCCATTGAATAAAAATTGCCGCAAATTGGGCCTGGATCGCGCAGAATTTGGGCCGAAACATGGCCTGGCCCAATGCCTAAAGGCTGCTGGCCAGCTGCGGGCCGCTCACGGGCTCGCGAGCCTCCTCTGCTGACACAAGGACGGGCCGCGCGCGGGCCTAATGCGGGCTAAGAAGCCCGCGCGCCTGGGGCTGGAAACAGACAAATAAAAAGAAATTCTATACGCAGAGGAAGAGTTCGAACACTTTACCTCGCACACATAAATGAGCGCAGTTACCACTGCGCCACACGCCGACTTGCAACATTTAATGAAAACTTATATTACAATAATTCAAAATAAGACCTGGAACATGAACAGAAAACAGAGACAGCAAAATTTTCAAACAGGAATGCAACATAGATTTGCAATTGGCCGAATCTCAACAGAATTTTCACGAGGGGTTCGAACTTTTATAATATTATTGAACATAGCATCTTCCAGAGTTCGCAAAATATTTTTAAAAAATGGTTTGCTCGAGATACAAAACGACACAATAATACAAAACAAACGACCGGGATACGATCGATCCAATCAACAAGACGACGACTCAATACGATAAAACGAGACACCAAAATCACACGAATTCATCACAGCTGCAACAAGACTCGACTTATACAGTAAACGAGAGTTCCGATATTCCACGAAAATTCACGAATATACGAATTATACGTACGAACATACAAATCAACAAATAGACCGAATGAAATCCGACTTCAAACCAACTTCCGATAGACCGAACACAACATATACATAACATGTGATATATGAAATCGATCGTAATAACGAGAGGATTCGATTAAGTTACCCGACTTTGGGAAACTACGAGTTATCGGAAGGGAAACGGGCCCGACAGCGGGTCGAACGATCGGCTTCGAAGCTCGACGAATGGCTATTCCTCACGAACGGCTTGCTCGGACGGACTGGGGGCTGCCCGAGAACGCAATAAGGACGTCGCTTTTCTGTCGGACAGACGTCGGGTTCTCCGAACGACTGTCGGAGGGTGGCTGAGCTTTCCGGCGTTAATAGAGGAGGGAGCTGCTGAACGTAGGCTTGCGTACGTTCACGGGATGCTGCCCTTGGTCGTGAATGACGTCTGTTGGTCGCTAAGGAGGAGGCTCGCTGGGACTGCTCTTCACGTCGGAGATGGCGCAATGGAGCTCGCCGGGATTACAGGTACGCGATCTTTAATAATTTTTTTTTTTTTTTGAAACAGGGGCTGCTTGAGAGAGATAGAGCGGAAGAGATAGAGAGAATTAATTATCAACTGATCAACGTATATAGACGAGATGAAGGGAGAACGTGCGAGGTAGAATCTCCCAAAATATCGCAGCCGAAGTATTTGAACGAGGGAGAAGAAGACTCGGTCCATCGAAGCAGAGAAGAAAATTAGTCGTTAATATTCATTTGGGCCAAAGATACTTAAATGGGCCTCTTCATTTCACAAGGAAAAAGAGCCAAGTATTTCAACTCCAAATGGGCCAAACAACACCTCCATTTTGGCGAATATTAAAGCAAGAAATCTGGGCTATTTAAAATAAATGGGGCTTAGGATTCAATTCAAATTGATCCAAAGATTAATCTCAAGCTCGATTAAAGCGCAAGATTGATTTAATAAAAACCGAACTAAACATATATAATACATTATTTAAAAATAATATAGTAATAATCAAAATATGAAATTAGCAATTTAATTAACAATTAGACATATAATATTTACACTTAATACATATTAAGCACATTAAATCATTTAAGAAATTAGACAATTAGATATAAATAAACACATAATAATAATAATAATAACATTAGTAATAATAATAATAACAACAATAATAATAATAATAAAATAATCTAATTTATTCATAAACGAACGGGGTGTTACATGCTCAATCGCCCAAAGGTATGCACACTCTTCTACCAAATTCGCATGCTGCTCAGGCCTGGTCTCTCGAACAGAAACGGCAATGGACTCGCCCAAAACTGTCATGCTTGTCGTCCTCTTCTTCACATCGATGACTATGCTAGTGGTCACCATGAAGGGTCGTCCAAGGAGGATGGCGTGCTCCTTACCATTTTCTTGCACACTTCCTACATCAAGCACGACAAAGTCCACGGGGACTATCAGCTTCCCTACTCGGACGAGCACATCCTCCACAATCCCTTCAGGGTGACGAAGTGAATGGTATGTAAGCTGTAGGCACATCTTGGTAGGCTTCAACTCCCTGAGCCCGAGCCTATGATAAACTGCGAGTGTCATGTGGTTAATGCCAGTTCCTAGATCAAGCATGTCTGAAGTCTCTTCCCCATTCCCGAAGGCTAAAGTGATCACAAAGCCTCTGGGGTCTTTTTGCTTCTTCGACAAACTATGCTAAAGACACTTGCCGCTTCAAACACCAACACCTCATCATCACTCTCGAGCTTCTGTTTACTTGCCCCTAATTCCTTGAAAAATCTCGCATACTCCGGTATCTTCTTTATCACATCGGGTGGAGATAAGTCGACGTTGGCCTTAGCCAACATCGCATGAAGGACCCGAATCATCTTGCGGTCCTTCTTCTCCAACAGTCGGCTTGGGAAGGGAATTTTTGGTCTGTTTAGGGGTTCGAAGATCTATGCAAGGCCGGCTTAGTAGACGGTATCTCTGGAACCTCTTCATCTTTCTTTTGCTTCCTCGAACCCTCATTATCGGGCATGATCATTGTCACTGATTTTGCATGCTCCAGTTTGCTCGAAAGCTTTTCCTTACTCAATTCGGTCTCAATGCTTCCAACTCGCATATCCAACTAACCAACTTGCGTCTCGAGACGTTTAATGGATGCATCCTGATTGGTGATAAAATTCAGAATCTTGTCTAGCTTGTCGTCCATGCTGGGTGGGGTTGGTCCAGTTTCTGGTGCTGGCAACCTCAACATCCCCCTAGGTTGCTATTGCTGCTGAGGTGGCTGCTGATAGTGGTTATTAGCCCACGAGAAGTGAAGGTGGTTTCGCCACCTCGTGTTATACGTATTCAAGTAGGGGTCATTTCCGGGTCGATTTTGATACCTCTGTAGTGCATTCACCTTAGTATTCAGTCCTCCGTAGCTCAGGTCGACAGCTGTCGGGCACACCTCGAATCCGTGGCCCTACACTCCACATGCACCACAAACATTCACTGTCATTGTCTGAATCGGTGAAGAACTTCGAGCATTCAGTAGCCGCATCTGCTCCGTGAGCTCGGCTAACTGTTGGGCCATTGCATTATTACTCGGTCCAACCTCGTTCACTGTAGTCCTCTTCCCTTTTACACTTTTCTCAGACGAGTTAGCACTCATCGTCTCGTAAATCTCTATCATCTCTTCAGCAGCTTTGGCCCCAATGTCCCCTCCGGATGCATTATCCACCATGTACTGCAAGTTCTGGTGGAGGGAGTCATAAAAGCACTTCGCCAAAAGCCCTGGTGAGAGGTTATGATGTGGGCATTGCTATTGAAGATCCTTGAATTGTTCCCAGGCCTCATGAAGACCCTCATTCGGTAGCTGAGTGAAAGAGACAATCTGGGACCGGATATCTTGGGTCTTCTGGTGGGAATAGTACTTCCCAACAAACTTTGAGTAAACTTCGGCCCAAGTTGTTAGAGAATCAGGGGCCAAAGTCATGAACCACGCTTTGGCCCGGTCCTTCAGCATCTCTGGGAAATACTGCATTCTCAATTGATCCTCGGTCAGACCATGCAGAGGTAATGTCTGGAGAACGTTGTAGAACCCCCGAAGAAAGTGCAGTGGATCTTCATTAGGGAGCCCGTGGAATGAAGGAAACTGGTTGTAGTGGATCATTTTGAACTCGTAATTTTGGGCGGCTTGTGGCAACCAGATGCAAGAGGTGATTGGCCCGATCATTGGTTGGGCCAGGTTTTAGAGGACATTACGGGGAGGTTGTTATTGTTCATCCATGTCGAAATTGCTGCCTTCGGATGACTTTGGAGTGCTCGCCCTCTTCGTGTGATTCGAGAGTAAGCTCGTCCAGCAGTTCTCTCATACTCTCTTTGAAAGGTTTGTCGATATGAGATAGTACATGTCCACTCCTGGTACGCATACACTAAAACAAATAACGGTTACGAGCACCAATGATAGATAAAAAGAAACAACATGAAAACAAAATCAACAAAAGAACTAACACCTAACAGAGAAAAAGAAAACAAGAGAAACACGAAAAATAAACTGAATAAGCGCACAAAATATATCCTAAACCTTCCCTAGCAACGGCGGCAATTTGTTGTAAGTATTTTTACCGGAGTAGAATCAAAAGATTCATTCCCCGAGTCCTATCACAAGGAAGGTTTGCTAGAATAAATTGCACGAATATTCAATCACAGAAAAGAAATAAAGTCCTAAACATTGGAATTCAGATGAAAGGATGGTTTTTAATTATCAACTACTGTAGAGATTATATAGAGAAATAAAAATAGCATGAGAAAACGAAGAACAAATAGGATTTAAGGAGCTATGGAGTCGGGGATATCTGTTTTGTTTCAAAATGCAAAATTATCGGGCAAGTGCTTGTTCGGTTAAGTGATTTGAATAACCTATCGTTCAAGTATTCATCCTCAATAACTTTTCGTAACAAGAGAACAAGCTTGAACGACAAATTAACAATTCATTTAACGCCAAGGCAATACAGTTACGAACAAGCCTAGTTTATACGAGCCTATTTCGATCGACTTCTCCCCTTTCGGTTCTAAGAGTCAATTAAAGTAGACTAGAAAGTATCAACTAGCCCATTTAGAATACCTATCATCATGCACTAATTAATCAAATCTAATCAAAACAATTGCAAGTTGAAGTGTCACCCTTCAACGATTCTCAAAACTCAAGAACAATGATCGAAAACCCTAAAAAAAAGATTAACTCGCACGAAATGAACAATCTTAAGCCCGCCAATCACAAATGATTCCAAAACATCAATCCCCTATCCCTAGCAATTAAATTTAGTCACTCATAATCGAATCAACACAAGCACTCATCACAACCCAAGAATTCATAATGAACGATTAAGTTAAAAGGAAATCTTACGATTGATAATTCTCAAGGTTGAATTCGATAAACAAGATTAATCCCAAAAGCACGACAAAATCCAAGCTTATGTTATTGTTATACGATGAAAGATATGAAGGAACGATGAAAAAAGAATGAAAAAGATAGAGGGTAGGGTTCGTGAGTTTTCTGTCGTGAATTAATGAATATAAAATGGTCTCGATCTCACTTATATATGCTCGCGAGTCTTGGCATGAGAAAATGAGCAGCACGGCGTGGCAGGGACTCTTCACACGGCGCGGAGCAGCTCGCGGCGCGGCAGAAGGATGAGGTTATCGTGATTTTGTCAATTTGGTTGTGAATAATCGCGCACTCAGGGCCTTCGACTAAACACGATAGGTGTGGCTAATAGACGCTCTCAGGGCCTTCTCTTAGACACAGTTGTATGATAAACATGCACTTAGGCCCTTGCTTAAACACACGATTTGAACATAACGTTCCCTCTTTCCTATTCACTCATTCAATATCGTCCCATAGCAATCTCCAGCACGCATCTTCCACCCATTTTCCGCCCTTCGCACCCATTCTCTTAACCTCTAACTTCCAAGCTCGACGCTTCCTCGCACAAGCCTTGCACCAATCATTCACCTCCTTAGCCCTCGGCTTGTGCTGCCTCCTTGCTCGCTTGGCTCTGCGCCTTCTGGTCCTCGGGCCACACTCTCTAGGCCAGTATCTTTCGATTTGTGGCTCCTCTAGCTCATGTTAGAGCCTACTTTCGAGGTCTTCGACCATCCCGTCACTTGACTCACCAGGGTTGATGACCACTTCCGTATCATTCCCCCCCTCTTTAAAACTTTCCTTGTCCTCAAGGATAATGAAGTTCAGCTTTCGGACTCGACTGTAACACCCCACTTTGATTTTACAGAAATTTCGAATTTTTCAAAAACCAGTATA